TTTTGCGAGTGAAATTGTTTTGGACCTTTTCCAAAGCAACCACATCCTTTTTCTTCGCTGGGTTAAACACGGTGGCTCCCGAGTCAACTAGCGGGCGTACATATGTTTTGTATGCCTGGAGAAGAACCCGCTCATTAGCGGTAGAGAGACCCTTGAAAATTCAGCTCTTAATTGTTCCCAGATCGCTTATTCTCCTTTCTATGAGTTCAACGACTGACCTTTCTTTATATTGATAATCAATAATGTGTGTTTAGGTAGCGTTCGACAGCGCACCTCTCAGTTTATCTTAGACGGTTAGTTAGGGAACTGGCGAAACAGTTTCCTCACTGTCTAGCATGATATGATCCGTTGGAAGCCTCCTGAACATTTTGTCTACCCAACTGTAAGTGGTAGAGTCATGAAAGAAAATCTCAATGTCGTTTTTTGATCTGTGGAACACTGGAACTTTCGGATTCTGAAGAATCGAGCGATGTAACTGTGATTGTTTTGATAGCGTGAAGCCTTGACAGTTTGTGAAACATCTTTTTTCCAAATGTAGAATTGAGTAAAAATTAATTTCAGCGATATTGCTCACGTATAGTTGAGCCGTCCACATAAGCACAATCACCACCGAGGATCGTGCTGACGATCCTTCGTAATATCGTCTTTTGCTAATGTTCCAATGGAATTGTGTTAGCCAGCATACACATCAAGTCGGTTTGCTGCCTCACTTATTAATGTTTCTTTTTAAATTTGTAGTTCAATCTCCGCATAGAAAGGCTCATGCATTCCAAAATAGGGTCATACCTATTCAATCAAATGCGCTCAGTCTCCTTAAAATTAGATGGCAACACAATAATTTGTTATAAGATCTGCTCTCAGACTTTCAACACTCCTAATCTGTCATACTTGCAGCCTTATTTTAGATGTGCTCGTTCCTGAACGGATTTCTTTTTCGCTCCTTTGCCTGCGCTTTTTCCTTCGCAGTATCATTTTAAGGAGTGCAAGGGTATTCTGGTCGTCAATTCATTTTTCCTTCTTGTTTTCTTTGATCTGCATTTTTTGTGTCTTGTACTACTTTTTGTACCACATGTTCTCCTCATCATCTTGAGCGAACGTTTCATCAGTTTCCGAGCAGTTTGTGGTTCGTTAGTGGCGTTGTCGAATCCAAAATGTTGATAGCTTCAGGATGGTCAGACCAGAGGTGAGGGACGTGCGATTCAATCGTCGATGTGTTAAGGTCACCCCGCACACTTAACACTAAACTCGTTGCGATGCAAGAATGGAGTCTAATTTTCAAATTAACAGCTCTTAACGATAGAGGGATCAATCGTACTCACATATTCTCCATACACTATGCATGGATGTGCGTCCCAGAAGACGGAAATTATAAATCTGCTCAATGCTTTTAAAATGGGTAGTCTATCCCCTGAATCCACCTGCGTTTCTGGGCAAGTGAACGGATTTGGTAACTGAACTAACCTAAGAAGAAATTGACATCTGGTGAAAGCTAAAAACTTCAAAAAATGCTCCCAACACGTTTGAGAGCGCGTACACACGGCTTTCCTCCGTCTTTTGTCTCCTCACACCTTCTATTAGATAATGATCTTTATCAACATTACTGTTTGGGCATGCCACCTGTCTCGAAGGGTGAGTAACTGCTTTTGAACCGCGATTTACACCCTATCCGCCACACGGGATCGTTTATGAAGCTAGGTGGCATAATAAGAAAGTTCGAAAGGTAGAAACCATTCTCTGATAAAAGGCTAGAACACCCAAAAGGTGGAGAAAGAGCGTCTGCAGTTCTAAATATCCTTTTGAAACTTGCGGCAATTACTAAGTATTACCTTTTTGAAAATTCGCTGACTAACCAACTCTATCATTTACAAAGATAACGTACGAGAAATGGGCTAATGTTTAACTCTTATCATTAGAAATCAACTATAAATGCAGTGTTCAGCAGTATGTTTCATTTTTAGCAAGGTTTTCAGTTGTCCTGGAAGTGCAGCGATGTCTACCGGGGGTTCACCCAAGGTTGGAGAAGTACGAGGAGGTATGTTCATCTTTCTTTCTCCTCTCTTCTTAGTAAGAAGTGACTCTACAAAAGGCAGACTTATGCCTGACCGATTCTTGCTCATTTTGTGTAGAGGGGTGCAAGGCTTGATCCTCCCGCTCCACTCGGGATCAATCAGATGAATCTTGTTAACTTAGGGGTTTCGATGCAGAAATGCAGGCGATGTGAGCCTTAGAAGATTTTCAGTTTTCTTAAAGTCTCATATGAGTCGTATTGTGTTTGCGACAGAAGTTACGCAGCATAGTATCAGGTAGGAAGGAAGATGATACAGCTTCTCAAAGAAATGTTGAAAAAACAGAAGTCTCCCAACTACATTATCATCTCCGATTTTTGTAAAGACACGCATAGCACGATGCCGCCCTAAATGGGAGTCACATTTTGAAGTACCCGCTTCACTTGTCATCACTCACTTCACTTCGCATTACTCATTCTATCCCATTAACCTACCCACCAATTTACTCCTTTATATATATAAGAAGGAAATGTGAGATCTGGGCTATCCATATCATTACTTTTATCGTAATCATAAAATTTGCCGACGGACAGACCGACACACCGACAAACCGACAAACTTACAAACCGACACACCAAGTTTCTGCTTCATAAATGAGGGAGAGGATTGATTTACCAGGTGGTCTGGAGGCTATGATAATGATATTGATAAAATTTCAGCAAGCAGGGTTGATCCCGATAAACGCGGCCACATAACAGCATCTCCCACCTGTGACGTCTCATGTGCATATGTTCATCTATGCAGAACCTTTTTCAAAATCTAGCCCTCTCGTCTGTGATCATCCTGCAGTATTCACCCAGTTTTTGTGGGAACAACATGTGTGAAGAGTCACTCATTACAGGCAGTAAGTGGAGTGGAGCTGGTTACATAAGTCGTTCGGCATTCTCTAATGGTTTCACATAATACATATTGAATTTCTACTCGTATAGCATAGAGGTGGGCGAAGGTGGTGTAGTGGCAAGTGGCGCCCTATCTCACGCACAGGCCAACCAAGCCTTCCATCCCTCCGGGATCGGTCAGTTGGTTCCAGACTCGTCTGGGAGGATAAAAGCACTGACTTGTACATCGTATGGCCATCGCAGATCATTGTATAGGCCACATACGCACTCATTACGCCACTACGATTCTGAGTGGAAGTCGAGTGCGGAGGCGCACCCCTAAGACGGGGTTGATTAACGCCAAAAACCTTACCCTTGACCTTTTATAGCATAGAGGTTCATTGAAGGAACTGTCGCTCTTCAGCATACCACAGCTAACGCTTACTTGAAAGGTCGAATGTCGGTCGCCTTGGTCGTCTAGATGAGAAGCGTCTCCGAAAGACGTGAGAATGGATGAGCATTCGTATTCGCTACGATTTCGTTTCAACGGTGGAGCCTTGCTTGTTAAGGTTGGATATGGAGTATGACGGGATCGTAAGTAGATGGCGACAGTAAATGACATAACTGATACGACCTGTCGGGCATAAGGCGAGAGCCATTGGATCAGTTTCGCTGCAAGTACTTACAACGAAGTCTTGCATTTCTTGGGTAATTGGCGACGGGTAGAAGAATTGTAGATGATCGTGGACAAAAATTGGCATCCCCGACAAAATGAACTGTAGGAATCGCCACCGAGTGCAAGAAAGTGCGTTATGGGCCTCTCGATTCTGCTGCAACCTTAAAACCTACACGGATCACGTTATTCCCATATCTTATCCTACAAATTATATCTGATCATATGCTTAGCAATAACTCCTGTGAAATTTTACAAATGAATGATCCCTGTTAGGAGATTGCAAGATCCGGGGTCGGTTAATTGGTTCCAGACTTGTCTGAGAGGCTAAAGCTTTGACTTGTACATCGGCTCGCCACCGCAAGTCATTGTGTAGGCCACATACGCTCTCATTACGCCACTACGATTCTGAATGAAAGTCGAGTGCGGGGCGCATCCCTCAGACGAGATTGACTAACGCCAAAAATTTTATCCTTTTAATGAAGTCATTGGTAAGTCCTAAGAAAGTGAGGATTTGAATAGTTAATGGAAGATTAGTGATCATCAAACACTGAATTCCAGTTGCACTGCCCTGATTGTGCCGAGCCCCAAGTTGGTGTGTAATTGAAGACTGCCTGAACCTGGGATATCCCTTCCAAGGTTCAGGCAGTCTTCATTACGAGTTTATGACAATAATGTTATAAAAAGAAGAGAAGTTTGACGTGAGCTGGGCAATCGCTTTGGATGTTCGATAGCTCGTGAGGGCCCACTGAGTCTTGAACCGATCTTTGTAATAAGATTAAAATTCATCGTAATTATGACACTAGCTCGGACATATCTTTGACTCTGTTTTGCAGGTGTGCTGGCGAAGTTACGGAGATTAATCGAAATCGTATACGATCTACGAACACATTACTACAAAATCGGCTGTCTTATTGGCAAATATCCACGGACGACCCTTTTTTGTGCGGTACTGCTTTATCTCCTCTGAGATTTTTTCAATGGACATACCTTTTGAAATTTCACCTGATGGTTGCAGTTTTGGGTGCATATCTCCTCGTACATGCTTCCTCAAGAATTCTTTAAAGCACATTGGTACTAAAAGCTGAAGGAATATTAATAGTTGTAGATGTTGTTTAAGTTGTTAGCAATTCTGTCTGCTAGGTCTTTTCGAGGTGGCTGTCCATGATTGCCACCAGTGAAAGTCGTATCCTTGTCGCAAAGCTCCACAAATACTTCCGATAGGATCAACTCATTTGGACAATTCAAAGCAAAAGATACTTAGCGCATCTGTAGGTTCTGCGCTGTATCATTTGAAGGGTCATTCTAAAAAATTGCTATTCAGATGCTGATCTCTTTAACATCTTACGGAATGTACAACATAGATCTAAGAGACAGTATACGAGAAGGTTACACTGCGCTTGACGCTCCATCACGTTACGAGACGCAAGCACGGAGAGAGTTCCTGGACACACCTGGTCAGTCACTATTCCGTTGAGAGGTTATAGCTCCGGTGAATACGTCTGAAACACGCTCTCATACAAACTTCTCCAAAAACTGTGATTCTAAGCTATTGCTGTAAATTATGTGTAGAGGTAGTATCACATTTTCCAAATAAGCAAAGCATTTGGAAGCACAGAAAATGAAAATGGTTTATTAGATTTGGCCCTGGGATGAACCTGTGACCTCCCCCCCCCCCCCCCCCCCAAAAGCACAAGGGACGCTGTTGGGTCCAAAACGGCTGAGATAGGGGCGAAGTAAGAGCCACAAACCGGCTTAGCTGACGCACACAGTCAAATATTTTCGGACGACTTCTCACGGTGTTGTAGAGACTGTAAAGGTTGCACATTCGCATCGGACACACAACTTGCATGCGACATCTTACTGTAGTCAGCTGTGCGCAGTGGCACACACATTTGGTCAGCTCATCCAAATACCTCTTCCATGCAACTTTTGTTGTCACATTCTCGTCCAACCCTACACTACTTTTTTAAAGGCTTATATTGCTATATAAACGCAAAACGCCTGATCGATTTTGGCCTGTAAGGTCCATGGTAATCAACCGTTACCCTCCCTTCGCCACCCACCAACCTATACTTGTTAGTCAAGCCAACACACCGGCCATGAAATTAGCCCTTCAAAAAATTACGGCCGGGTTTGACTGAAAGTGACAGTGTGTCCATTTTTTGCAGTTGACCCAATGGAGATGATATTGTTATTGCTGTCGAAAGATCGTGGATCCATGCATCGGAAAGCACTTCTGGATGAAGCGGCCACGATTGTCGATCTCGTTTACAACATGACATTTATATATGAAAGCCGAAGTCTCACGTATGAAAAGATGTGCTCGCCATACTGCTTTAGTAGAAACCTCTTCAATGGTTTTAAGGTAAGTACGTTCAACCTGCGGGCTTAGAGAAGTGTCAGTCCAACGCACTAAGTCACGAGCACGACACCAGTTTCAGCCCGACAAGGAACAGTTCATTGTATTATAATAAAAGGGTCCCAAGGGAAACGGAGAACAGCCGCTATTATGGCCCTTTATAGTTGCTTTGGACTAGACTTTGACGTCATAGGCCGAGGAAGATTAAGCTCTCTCACCTGATCACAATAGAAAGGACTGGACTTTGAGTTTCATGCGCTTTTTTTTTATTTCGCCGTGAGGCACTATCACACCTCGCGGTTCCCTTTCTGAACAGTTTGATCGTATGTCACATCACCGAGTTGCTCATCTAATGGTAAGCGAAATCTGAATCTGTCAATCTTTCAGCGGAATCTTTGAGGATTTTGAAGGCAATGCTCCAAAAGCAGAGGGCTCTTACAGTAAGAAGGAAGTCGTGGTGGCGTATAATAAGGAGCGTGTCCTTTTTTTGCGGAAACGGTATCAAAAGCGAAGCTTCTCTATCCCAGTTAATGAAAGCTCTATTTTTGGTGAACCGCTCAAACCGAAGGGGCGTGCCAGAAAGAATGAACATTTATTTTTCTCATTCCTTTTCTCTTGGATGATGTCCTCATTGGCCCCCTTGCTTCAAATAGTCGAAGTAAAGGGAGGGAAACAATTTCACGATTTGTCCTCTGCTTAAAGTAAGGCCGGGATTTCGACCCGTTTTTCTAAGTTTTGATTATCTATTGTGTTTTCTTTACTCTTTTCGTATGCAGCACAACTAGACTAATCAGTAATTTCCAGCATTACTACGACGTTAACCACAGATCAGCCACGAAGTACGGTACATGGAGCGATTTATACAACTTATCGTACCCATTCGCTTCCATATGGGGTGTTCGTCTTCCCCTCGAGCAGTTAATGTTTGGTGTGGTGCTAAAACGACCAAATATTTCCGATGTACCAGTTGAACCTAAAAAGGTACTCTACAAATGATTCTGTCTTTTAATTTTTGATCATCAAAATGTCTTGCTAGTTGCAAAGCGGCTTCATTGTAGCTGAATAGCTTCTAGTCTACGCAAGAAATTGTTCTCTATTATTGCACTATCGATTCATACATATATGCTGATGCCAAGTTTGTAGTCTACTAGTACTGTCTGGATTTCAGGTGAAGCGATTTTTTGACTTTGGTAACGATATACCGGTAGATCGCACAAAACCGTTGGAATCCCAAATCACGAACATGGAACATGTCGAGGTGAGAGGAAATCAGCGTTGTTATCCTTAGTACTTTCTTTTTCATTTAGCTGCTCGTTCTCTACCTCTATGGTTTCAAAAATACGACCGAAATTGAGAGAGGCTTCACAATTTGGGAGTTGGGAATACATGATTGGACAAAGAGGTACAACAGAGGAATGATCTTTAACGACTCAAAAGTTGAGGTCCTCGTAAGTTTTGTTTTTCTCTTACATGAAACTTTATCGATAATTCGTAGAAGCTTGGTAGCAGAACGCGTCTAAGTGCGGAAGAGACAGGCTGAAGGGGAAGGAAGAGCCTGTGCGGTTGCGGTATATAGTAAATATTATATAAAAGTATAAGGGTAGAGAATCCTGACTGAGGTTCGTAGGGGTAGCCTTCAAGGTGGCACTTACCAGCGTAGTGACTAGAAAAGTATCCGGCGCACGTTGGCGCGTGTTGCGGCAGCCTGGTGAACCCTCGTTGCATCGGTGGTTAGCTCGGATGGTGTTCGAGACGGCTAGATAGTGTCGGGTGCAACGCCTGCTCGCCAATGCTCCACCCCTGCGGCCAGCCGAACGGTCCGGTCGGCAAAATGGTGGGCGACAATTGATTGGCGATGGCGACGAAGACAATACGAGGAAGAACTAGGAGAATAACGCGATAGCTGGCCAGAGTCCTCAGCCAATTGTAAGTCACAGGGAATCCTCTTGTTCCTTGCCAATGAAAGTACCTTCCGTCAAGATCACCCTTATCAACTAGAATTCGGGATAGCATGACTATCATCTGAATTTGAGAGATGAGATGATTTTAGATAAATGATGAGTAATGAAGTACATGACAGGCTTATGGGAACAAAATTCTTGACGTCGAAGTAAATGAAGACAATCGAAGAATGGCGCCGTACTTTGCAATTGGTATGTGTTCATATCGGGGTGCGTACCCTTCACAAAGTGCAGACCCTTTTAGAGCAGGCTGTAAGAGTCAACCAATAGTTCACAAAAGGGTTGAAGGTAGATTAAAGGCCCAAAACTGATAAAAATGGTTTCTGTGATTTCCTCACAGAATGAATTTGAGGTTCCCGCGTTACCCCATCTTGCACTATTAGGTTGGAAAACGGCCCAGTTAGGGAATTATAAAGGCTCAAGGATTGCTCGTGTGTACCCTCGGACGAGTTTCACCGGCATTGCAGAGGCTGCACCTATCATAAGAGAACCCATGTACATAGGAAGTTCAAACAACCTGTCATGACCCATAGCGACAGTGAAAGACAGTTCTGTACAGTTCTGTCTTGATGTAGTCAGTCTTGCATTGATGCCACAAAATTATCGTGAACTGTGACTAAATACGCTCACCTTCATCGAGGACCCCATACTTTTTTTTAAATTACCGTGCATTTCATTATCGGTGCTCCAGCTTTTAATCACTCCAGTGCTAGTTGTGCCCTCTAACGGTCCGTACTTGTACTGATTGATGGAGTGTTCAGAACGCTCATTATCAATATGAGTAGGTCTCTCCACGTTGTTTCAGCTCTCCCGAGTTTTCCAACTTTTTTGTATTACAACTCTAGTTGTGTACAGATACACGGTATTTGAGGATTTGGTTGTATGTTGACAATGGTGGTGTTCTGTGTGCTGTCTATTTCCTACTACTACAGAGCTCTAGATGTTGGTAAAATGTAAGTGAATACTCTGAAGTGGATGAACATCCTTGGAATTGGTTTTTCGATGACAAGGTGTTTAAATGACCGAGGAATTGTGGCAGAATGTTGGTTCATAAGAGCACGATGGAGTTACTTGTTTTGCAGTCTGATCGGTTTCGCTGCAACGCTCTGTCCTCTTTTGGGCATCACCTCCACTTATGGTCTTCTTACACTGATTGGAATAAGAGTGAACTCGCTGCTTCTTGTGATGCCTTTTTTAATAATGGGAGTTGGTGAGTTGAACAGTTATGAGATCGTTTGAAGATCCGCTTGGTGCCTTACTCATCTCATCCCCTATCTCGAACTTCTTTCCACCCCACTGACGTTGGAGGTGACTGAGAAATCCGTAATCTGAATGCAAGAGGTCCAAGCTTGAGCAGATTGTGGGAATATCGCTTAGGCAGCTTCCAGCTCTTTTTGCCTTTGCCGTGTTCGAGTTGCCATATTGGAGGGCAAATATAGTGAGGTATGCTAGCCAAGATAAATGAGCCTAAGCAATAACAACTTTCCTTCGAGGTAGTAGATTCCCGCACCCTATTCAACAACTACCCATAGACCACAAACAAGAGAGGAGCAGTTGGGATTCGCGACCAGCCCCAAATTAGTTAGGAAATAATAACCAATCTTAAATTTGACCAAAGAAAAAGCCCCTTTGCTGAATAATATTATACCATGCAATACACTTGTGCGGTTGGTGTGAGTTTTGGGTGCTTTGAGATCAGAATTTTTACGGGGAACAGGGAAGAGGGTTCGCAGGATAGTATTCCTCAAAAACGTTTATAGTCACAAGTACCTATGGCATTGTTTTCAGGGGTGAATTTTATTTCAAAGAGGTTTCAGGAGTTGATGCTTTGTTCTTGATGATGTTTTCGTGGCAGAAAATGATCGAATTCGACTATACACCATCAGGAAGGCTTGGTAAACAGCTGGCTTTACTATTTGGAATGTAAAATAGGATAAGTCGTCCACGAAGTTCGACCACTCATGTTTTAAGATGCGCACGCATTCGACTACCTTTCCAAAACGCAGTAACATGCGATGCATGTTGTTTGACTATCGGATCCCAGTACACTCTAATTTCTGAGGGAATGTCGAACAATGGCCCCGTCCCTTCCTGGTCTATCGAAGTGAATGGGTCCTCTTGGCCCTCCATTACCTCCATCCATCAGGAACACACCAACCGAAGTAGATGCTTCCATAACGTATTTCTGGTCCAGTGTAAAGATCTTGGTAAAAGCACTACAGAACGTAAATGAATCGGGAACTATTCAGGAATGGTTTTCGAAGAGTGCGGTCCGAGTATAACAATTACATCTGTAACAAATATGCTAGCGTTCAGCATTGGAGCTATTACTCCAACGCCAGGTTATTGTTTTCTCCAAAGCTTTCAGATTTCAATCTCGCCATTCGGTCGGCCTGACACATGAGACCGAGACGATTCGCTATCATAAGTACAAGTGATCATATTCTGTTCAGAAGTTCGCATATTCTGCATGGGATCAGGAATAGCGATGTTAATGACGTATGTTTATCAGTTGATCTTATTCGGCCCAGTTCTCGCAATCGCAACAAGCTACGAAAGCAAACTTGAAGACGAGGAACAAGCAACTTCAGGCTTCAGGGCACTGGTAGGTCCAGAACACTACGGTCACCGTATTTCAATGTCCGAATATCCCCCTTTTAAGATTAATCTGACCTTCATGACATTACTTCGCGCCCACTGCGCGTTTATCGGTCGCACTGAAGTAGCTGCTATCGTTTTCGTATTGACCATCATCTATTTGGGTTTCTCAATACAAGGTGTGGTCACAATGAAGACCAGGCTGGATTCGGCGAAAATTCTGCCTTTGGAGTCTGAACTGCGCAGACCGAACTCGCTACTTATGGATTACGGTACGTCCCTCCATAGAATCTCGGACCGTCAACTTCTTTGCAGGGTCCGCCCTCTAATAGTTGTTACTTTCAGTATGGAAGGAACATCTATCGCCTACTTTCCTTGTCAATAATCGCTTCAATCTGACGGACACCAATTTGACAAGGCAATTCTGGGATGTGCTACGCGAACTCGAAAGCCTGTCTCTTTGCAAAGGTACGACGATGAAGGTTACACCAGGCCGAAAGTTATCGGGATCCACCCCTCTCGAATGCTAATTCAAAGCATATAAGTTTTGGAAAATACCACAAAGCAGAAGCTATTACTATTACTATGACTTCAGAGGCCTACATATGTATGTATGTATGTATGTATGTATGTAGCTAGCTCGTTTCCATCAACTTTCCAATAAGTTTTATTTGATCACTTCTTACTCAAAAAAAGACCGGATTTGATGTCCTCGGGAGAGATCATCATCGCATGCTTGATAGTACCTGTAGTCACATACCCCTACAGAGACATGGCTTACGCTGTCAGAACCAAAAATAACTTTTCAATGAGTTTTCATCCCAATTATTTCAAGGTCCTGCTTCGTCTCATGTGTGGCTTCGGGATTTCGCACACAGTCTCAATAAATCGGGAGGATTGTACCCATACCATGTAAGGAGCAGAAAATGGATTCCAAATGAACCAGAAAGGACACTTTTCGTTTTATTTTTGTCTTTCGCTTTGTGCTAACATTTGCTTTAGACCAAGCTTAACCCCAAAAGATTGAAAAGCTTTCTTCGATATGACCTTCGTTACTTCAACATGACGATCAGACTGTCAAACAATTTGTGAGTGGGCCGTCTTCCCCTGAGGGGTCGAAAAATGTTAAATATCAATCCAATCCAGCTTTTGTTCAGGAGTGATCCAATAGTGGAGCGTTTCCAATTTTCTGTGGCATACACGAACATTTCAAATTGGGAAGTACGAATAAAGCTGATGACCCAGTGGAGAGAAGTGATTGCAAAGTAAGAAAAATTGTTCCTCGTTTCCTCATGCACTACCCTTGATTTTACTTCGATCAGGTGAATCCTTCACCTCTGCCAATCTATTTGACCCATATTGGAGTAGTACAACACATATAATGTGCCCATAAGTGTATGCCGTGGCTTCAAGATAAAATATAAGTTTTATCCTATAAGGGTAGTATCGAATTTTGGCAAGGGTTCGAAAGGGAAGCCGTTTTTGTACAGTTGCGTCTATTTTTCAACCCGTTCACTCCAGAACCCGTAGGAATAGCTCCAAAAACTACCGAAACCAGTTCACCGAAGTAAAGTTCACTGGAGTAAAGTTCAGGACCTTCTACGAAAAGGAAGCATATCATGTCAAGGTAACCATAACAAGAATGAGAGCCTTCCCAGCTGCAGTTTGGCAGACGGACAATCAGCGGCAACCCAACTGTTTCTAGTAAATGCGCAGGCAGTCTAATTGCACACCATGATGTCGTCACAGAAGTCGGTCGGACAAGTTCCGCAGGAGCTTCAAGGCCCAGGAAGTACAGTGCATGGATTGGGTACAACCACACCAGGCTCGTTGCAGAACATGTGATGGGGGTTCGGTAAACGGCTTGGTATTTTGCTTCTTACTTGGGAGCACATCTTGAATTGATTCAAATAATGAATTGGATATTATGTATCTTATGTATGGCCCAAAACATCACATGTAGAGCCAGCCCTGCGTAGTATGAAGCTTTTGTGGTAAGCGAATAACTAGGCGTCGCTCAATGCTGACTGATTTTATTTCAGGTACCGCGGTCTAAACATGACTGTGTACGAGCCGTCTGGTTTCTATGTCGATCAAATGCTGAGTCTCACTGCTGTCACCGTGCAGGTTCGATAGTCTGTTGTATTTAATGTCCCGGGAGGTTGTATAAGAACCGGCATGCGGTTTGTCGCCGAATGTATTTATTCTCAAGTCATTTCTTGAAGTTACCATCAAAGTGGTAGAATCTTTATGAGCCAAAACACTGTTCCAACTTTATTTTCGCGTACAAAGCCCTTCTAATCTTTTGTTGCAATGAAAACCAGCTTATACCTCTCTCCCCAGTCTCTATGGATCATGAATTCCTGATTTTTCAGAGCGCACTGTTCACATTGGCATCCATGACTGTTGTGTGCGCGATTTTCATGGGCAACCTATGCAGCGTAGTCGCAGCAAGTGCTTCCATGGCTTCAATCAGCGTTGGTAGGTCTCTAGGTCTTGTTTCCTTATGAAATATTTGTAGCATTGGAAAGGAATAAGTAGGAATTGTCACATGAATCGAGTTGCTTCGCATTTGGGTATAGGTTAAGACGCGCATTTGCCGGCACGGCCGAACGTCGTTTCTTTAAAGAGCCATTTCGTTTTTATAACAGTTTGTTGTTGTTTGTCTAGTTGTTGTCCAACGAGCACCGGTCTTGCGATTCTCCTTTTCACATTGAAGCAGAATATATGGGCGTTGGCTCTTAGTATTCGCTGTTAGATTTTCAGGTGTGATAGGTTTCATGTCATTGCTCCACTTCGATCTCGATCCAGTAGTGATGGTATCACTTCTGATGACCATCGGTATGAGCGTTGATTACGTCGCTCATGTAGCTTATCACCTACAGGTCCTTTTCCTTTCCTCTAACTTTATTTGTTCAATTACCTTTTCACGGGCCAATCTCTACTATGATGTTCTAGTTGGATTCGAAAGGAGTAATCAGCGGAGGATCTGTGGTACGAACTCCAATCAGCGGTTTTGCTAAAAAGGTGGAAAATACAGTGGAGTGTGTGGCGCTGCCATTAGCGCAATCGGCCTTATCGACTATCACCTGTGTTCTTCCTCTGCTGTTCCTTCACGTGAGTTTTCAAATTGAAGTCTTCATAAGGTAGACATTGGAAGCGCATTGCCCTAGCTGTCGTTGCTGAATGATCACTTCTACAACCAATCTGCTTACGTTACAGAATCCATTGTTCAGCCAGTTTTCACCTCGTTTACTCTTTCATGAGCACAGCTTGGTCTTCCTCATTGAGTAGAGCGAACCATTTCCATGCCATCAGTACCCTTGTTCGAGGCTAATCCAAAGGGGGTCATCTCTACTAAAGGAATTATTTCGAGCGGAGCTTGTACGGGAAGGGAGTTGAAAGTGTATGGAACGGACCTTCATGGACAACCGTTGACGAAGCCGTCAGCGGCTGTTAGGTTCCTTCTCCGTGATTACTCTCGCTCAATACCTGCTGCCGGAACCTTGGGCTGGGTTTGTTCCGAAATTTATTTGATTAGTGTATCCCATGTCTCACTTATCATTTCTCTTCCTCCAGCACTTCTGAAAGCGATTTCCTGTCAATCTCCGTCCTAGGGCTTATAAGGCAGGGGAATATTAATTATTAATGACTAGAATTTGAATTTCTATCACTTTTTTGATCCTGGCCATGACTGGTTAAAGTTTTGTGGTGAAATTTTGGCTTGACGCAAATTTCATACTTCAATTCCTGCTAGTTAGCATAGAGGTTTGCCAAGAGTCACTCATGTGGTTGTCATTGTCAGCTGCCGTGGTGTTCGCATAGCAGATATTCCCTCTTATACCTAACTTCTTATGAATGAAGAAAACATTTGTTGGGCATACTGAAAGAACTGGAACTTATCCACCTTAACAGCACAATCCTTTAGTCTTCCCAATGAGCCATCAATGATCCCCCTGATCCTATTCACTTACGATGTTCGTATAGCGCCAAATTTCAGACGTACTCCTCTTCGGTGTTTGTGACAGCTATGGTGTTGGTGGTGATCTTTGGAACACTCCACAGTCTGGTGGTCAGCTACTCTTACACGAAAATCACGGAGGAATTCCAATCAACACCAAAATAGGGTTCAACTTCAGATATTACCGGTGTTCCTGATGCGCCTGCCTGAATGGGTGACGAAGGGCGGCTTCCTGCGGAAATGCGAAAGATGCGTTTGTCGTTGAGCAGCTCCAAAACGAAAGAGAGATCATTTTAAAAAACACCTAACAACATTCTTTCTGTGTAGATAAAGATGCGCGATTTGTTTATTAGGCTGGTTAGAGGGTTCTGCAGTTTAAGTTCGGGCATCGATTGCAGCAGAGAGTTTTTCTGGCGAAATCAGAGGTGGACGGCTTCTGGAGGAAGACGTTATCTCATTGTGCTGCCCTCTCTATCAGTTCTTACCTATACTATTACAAGAAGTCAAGAAGTTCGGAGCCGTTTGCATTTGGAGCAAGTTCTTAAGAAAAGGTTGTTGTTGTTGTTGTTGTTGTTCTTTGAGTTGGCACCAGCCTAAAACTGGTGCGGGACCATCTAACCAGACTAATTTTTATCAGGAGATTTCTATTTTGAGGATTAATTTTTTGAATGTTTTTTATTCGTAGTGAGTGTGTTGAGAACCAGTATTGAGTGTTGAGCATTTGAAATAAAGTTTTAAGTTCACAACTGTACTGATCATTGGTTCATTCAATTGTTCAATCAGTCCGGTTCATGGAATACTGTAGCACCTTTTCAACGTCGAAGAGAGCATCCGATAAAGTATTCTGGAGTAAATATCAATGTGGTTGGCTGCAGAAGGTCACCTTCACGGTTACCATTGCAGCTCTGTCTAAGTCTTGAATAGCTTTACCCAAAAATGGTGAGAGTTGACCATCTGACTATTCCATGCTTGTCATACTGTCATCTCATCCCTATCTCATCATCGTACAATTAAGATTACGAAAATATGTGCCAGCTTTTCTCAACCAGGTGTTCTTTGTGGTTACCTCAACAAAGCCATACCACCGGGTGCGATTGTTAACGGCCAGCTATGAACGCATTGCAGAGGAACCTGAATCAGCCGAAGTCTCCGTCCCTACAGGGCCACGAAATAGGCAGTAGACTCGTTTAGAAGAACAGAAGCACTGAACTGTACAGTGGCTTTCCTGCAAATGTCATGGTATGGACCACACATGGGCGGATATCGACCCGAGATCCGTACCTTGGTGTGACGTCTTGTGTTGTGCACCACTCCGGCTGCGACTGAAAGAATTCTTACAATAAACTTCGCTGATCTGTCCATCCCACTATTCCGTGTACACTGTAATCAGAAAAGCTGTAGAGTAATTTTTAATAAGTCCTAGCATAGTTTTGTAGTAGTATGGCACTTCACGCATCATGGTTCCTACTGCTTTCAAGTGTCATTGCTCCAGTATGTTAAGTATATTCTATGAACTTAAAATATGTGACTTTGAAAAAATACGAAACTGAAGGGTTTTCGACTAGCGGAGTATGAACAGGCCGTACATCTACTGGACAACAGTCATGGTGCGATAAATGTGCTCCTCAAACAGAACTGCGCTCCAATAACTGCAAGGCGTGTCGCGGGCGTCAGCTGCTAGACATTTGTGGCTCACCCTCTCGATTCTCCCCGGGCAGTTCATGCAATATTTGGGTGAAACTCGATTTAAATAGCTTGCAGAATCCCATAATATATATCGATGACAGCGATCACCCTTCTGTCGATTCTAGTTCAGAAGTCTTCTTTTTTTCAAGTGTTTTGATGCTGACAATGAAATACGGTCCCCGCAATGTCGACCCCTTCGAGTTGACAAAAAGTCCAGACCTACCAATTGCTTTATATTTTTCAATTGTTGTTTCGGGAATAGAAAAACACTAAAGCTGAATGTTGTCCGTATTTCAGACCGTGATGGCGGTTTCTGGAAGCAGACGCCAGAATATGACGATTGATGGCGTCTGGGAGGATCTGTACAAAGGTCTTCAAGCTGTATATTTGCGCGAAGTGATGAAGTCTCAGCGATACATGGAGCTTTATACGTATGTTTTGAAACTCGGTGTACTTAAACTTCTCCGTTTTCGCCAGTATTTGAGACCTGGCGAGAGCATTTCTTCAACAAAACTCTAGTGCTCCCGTGCCCCGCAAAGTTGTACTCGTATAAAATTGAACATAGGGTTCTGCAGCTCTTTTTTCTATGTGTGGGGCTCAACTTGCAGCTACTAGCTGCATGATTTTACTTCGCTTCGCTGCTAGACAAAAGAAATATCGATTTAGTCTCCGTATTGTACGTAATGGGCAGAAGTCGCACCCGAATAGCTATGACTCAGAGCCCAAAAGGAAGATAATATTGGGTAACACTCCACCATTGCGCTGAGTACGCTGGGACATTTCCCATGTCTGAGCTTAGTTGTTGCGATTAATCATTGCAACAGTAAATACAGCACCCTTTTTGTGAACGTTCTACACTTTTTCAAGACCGTCGCCTTCGTTTTTTCGGCTCTTAATTTGCAGAATGTAGTGTGCTCGAAAGGAGTACCCTTGCATTTTCTGTGATAATCTGAAGAAGCTTGTAGTCAGATTCATTATTTCGGGATATTTGCTACCCTGACCTCACCTCTATGCTTATGGTTTGAAAGAAGCTCGCCCAGATACAGCGTTGTTCATAGTAATTGAGAATTTTGCTAGCTTCGGGTTTTCTAAGTTGATAATTTTTATTAACTATGACTCAAACATCTCTTTCGGCTCAGATTTCATTTCTTTCGAATGTGTACTCTGACCCGGCACTGTTTTCGCTAGTTTGACAAGAGAGCTCAATGGGGTCAAAGAAAAGTGTACTAGATTATTCAGTAAAGCTTTTTTAGCTTTTTTGGATGTTAATTTTCATAATCATGTTCAAATTAAATGCATGAATAACGAGCCACCCATCTTTCACTCAAACCAACAATTCACTCTCAACCTACTTAAGCAGATTCCATAGGTTCTGACGATCCTGATCAACGATCTGCCAATTTACTGTAACCTATTGGTAGTCTGACCTACTTGACTGGTTTCCTCGTACGTTTTTTGAGTTCAGCTCAAAAACCAATTATTTTTCCAGTCAGGTCACTAATTATGAGATTTCGAACTTTTTTATTATTAAGCATATAATATTAATCTTATTATGGCATCATGTTTTAATTTTTGTTGTGGTGGGTACAACATTTGCATGGGTTTCATTCATATTTAGTGCCGATTTATAGTTATATTTGCTTTTTTGCTAGTTATCATTAGCAGTTCAATTGACTTCTTCAAAAACAGTACTCAGGGGTTCGATTGCGACCAAAATAAAATGAACTTTTTTGCAAACTCGGGAAAGCAGCAGAATTTCATATATGCTGTTTGTTTGTTTGTTTTGTTTCTGTCATTTTGAACAGTTACGAATTCTTCATAAAAACCTGCACTTTTCCGCATTGGAAACCGCATGTTCTCCTTGCTCCGATCGATCAATTTGAACTTGTGATCAAGTGCACTTATAATGAAAGATAGCTCTGCTTCTAGCCATTCAAAATTGTTGGGAAGACGAAGAGCTACCCACTAAATCTTTCGTCTTGACAACCAGTAACTTGGTAGAAATGGTTTCTCCCAGTGCACAATGTTTGCCACTCATTACATACATAACATATTATCCGAAACTTCACTTTCAATATGGTTTCCCTAATCTCCTGCCTACATCAAGCGCTATCTAGATTGCTCATTACATTTAGAAAGTCATTACTTCAACGTGTAGTTGGTCCCCGCTCGGAGATGGGAAAGTGTAGCTATTGAGGACTTTGGGTTACGATTTGCTTACCATTTTTGCATACCAAAATGGAGAGAAATTAGTCATGATCTCCAACAGAAGTAAAAATATAGATGTGTTCCGGAAAAATTAGATGTGGCATTTTCTCACTCCGATTTGCTTTGCTTTCCTATGTTCATCTGAATGATTAGTTGCTGTTTTTTCTGCACATCTTCTTCTTCACTCTTGTTCGAGGGAACCAGGAAGTATCAGAAGTTCAGGCAGAGAAATTGAAGTTAGTGTGAACACTTCCTCTTGGTTATTTAATGAGAGGCATTTTCTTGGAGCCAACGTCAATTTTGGGTGAAGCTAACCCAAACTGTTAATCCCAAGCTTTAAAGTATTTGTTTAGCTCGACAAATTATTTTCAGGAGTGTATATGATTTTTGCACCGCGGTTTCTGTTAATGCGAATCCGGGTGTTGTCGGCCGACCTACTCGATCAGGTGCTCGTTCTTCTTCGCACAAGAACTACAGTAATGAAGATGGACCAGTAACCGGCACAGATTTTGTAGGCGTCGAGATGTACGCCAAATTGACCAGTTTTATCGAATCATACGTGAAAGCTAGACTAGAGGTGTGACTTGTATCCTATTCTTTCTTTTTTCGATCTTTTCACCCAATAACAAAAATTGAATGTTCACAATTTTGCAGGGAGCAAGAGATCTCCTTGGAGAAGACTTGTTGCGGTACTACACAACCCAGTGGTCGGAATTCAGATTTTCTTCGAAAGTATGTCTATTGATGACTCATTTCGCATAGGTTGGCATCATCTAATGACAGAGTAATTTTAGGTTGTCGATGGTATCTTCTCTTACCTTAACAGACACTGGATAAAACGGGAATTAGATGAGGGCAATGGCAATATTTATATGATATATACGGTAATAATAATCTCATGCTTACTTCGTTGTATTTTTGTCGCTAAAAATGGCCACATTATATAGTAGGCCCGAGATTGGGGCCATGAAGGAGGTTTAAGTAATAAACTCGATCGTTGCAATCATCGAACTAGAACATGATTTCGAAATTTTAGTGTCCTTTTCTTTTAGTTTTTGATTGAGTCACGTTTCAGGAGTTTAATCAATCAAGATCAATGAAGTCCTCTTTTTTCTTATGAAAACTTGTCACTTTCAGCTGGCACTGGTGATTTGGAAACGGAGTTTATTCATGGAAAGCAAGGAACGTGTCACCGACGCTGTGTTAGACCTGATTAGGCGGGAGCGAAATGGTGAAACGATTTCTCGCAAGCTCATACGAGACGTGACCGATTGTTACGGTATGTCATCTTCGCCGTCCAAAATGTTTCTCGGTTATTCGGACCTGAGAATGTTCCTCCACTCACGCTCTTGCGATAAGGGCACAATCGAAATGAGCCCTGTATAGTTGCTGGCAGAAACTTAGTTTATCCTTTTTTTGACTTAGACATTAATTCATGGCTTCTGTTGCAGTTGAGCTTGGTATAGAGGAAGATGAGACACCGGATCAAGTTCGATCGGCTCAACCAAATCCTAACGCGAAGCTCAAAGTTTACATGGTGAACAGATATTATTTTTTATAATAATATTCTTTGATAAGTTTGGAAGACAGTAATTTTCCATTCAGGATCACTTTGAAGCAAAATTCTTGCGAGAAACCGAGAACTACTATGCAAATGAAGCACAGGTTTTCCTTGCCCACAATCCATTGACAGAATACATGAAAAAAGTAACCACGATCTTCCACATAGCCACTGATTTGAATTGATATTTGGTTTTTGATTGCCATTCAGTGTTTATTGAATTTTTGTGAAAGTGAGTTTCAAGGTTGAAAGAAGGTTAGAAGATGAACGAGCTCGATGTGATATGTATCTCCATATGGCAACTCAAGAACCTCTTTCAAAAACATGTGAAAAGGTTCTTTTATAGTTTGGCTTTTCTTTAAAAGTTTGAAAGTCTTGAGATAGATGTGAAAGGGTGGTCATCAACTCCGTTTCAGGTTCTTATTGAGGCCCAGTTGGAGCTGTTCCAGAATGAATTTGGTGCATTGCTCGAGGCCAACAAAGACGATGATTTAGCCAGAATGTACAAGGTACACACTTCCATTCGGCATCATTGAGAGAAATTCTTAACTGTTTTAAGCAAGCTCATTCTCACTACATTTACACTTCGGGTAGTTTCATTCTCGTGATTCAAAAAAAAAAAATGAAATGACAATTTTTTCTAAGAAATAGGGTTCAAGGATTTGCGTTGATAACTCATCCATGAAAAGATGTCATTCAATTTCGTTTGAGATGCACCTCGCTTGTGTTCACATTTAAGGTGTTTCATTCAAAAACCTAGTTTAATTGACAACCTTTTTAAGTTTTCAGGTTAATAAGTTTAAGGTTCTTTTCACTGGGGCACATTTTTTATTGAGAAGGTCTTCTCAACCACGCATTTCAGCTATGTGAGCGCGTGGAAGATGGCCTAAACAATTTGCGGTCGGCTCTGGAAAGTCACATCACCAAGGAAGGGCTAGCCGCCATTGCCAAAGTAGCAGACACTGCCTTTACGGTCAGTCACTGTTCTTTTCTCTTCTTTTTTGGTTCTTTCTTCTTTCCAAGACTGATTTTCTCAGCTCGGAGGAAGTGGACGCGTTTTCAAGAAGTTCATGACCAGCATGCTTCATTTCAGCAACGAATTGATGTTTAATTTGTCGCGAAAAGTGGGCTGTCTTGCACCGATGAACTCGAAACGTCTTAACTCGGCTCTAACAAATTTTTGTCACTCAAAGTTAATGCCAATAAAGGTCTGCCCACAATCCTCAACAGCTATGTAAGGAATTCCGTCGTGCCCTAAGCCCATGGCGAGAATCGATAAAATTGAGGAAGGATTTTCCGGTATCCTCATTTTGGTGAATTTCTTGAACCCGAAGAGGGTGGTCAGACGAAAAGGGTGGAGCCGTATCTCTATGTTCAGCTCAAATTACGGAAATTCCCGCTTCTGCATTTTCTTGGCTTTACGAATTTGGTTCAAATGCTGTGCCCCTGGTGCATGATGTACTCTCAATTCTTCTCCATTGATCGCCATTACTTTCTGGATTCGCTTCTACTGCTGCCTTCTAATGTTCATTATTCCGTGAACGGCTTGCGACTACGATCCGCTTGGTTTTAAAGTGTTCCTCCTCTAGAAGCAGACTGTGAACCAATTTTGTATGATTCCTTCCGCACTCTATTCTCTCTTCAAACATGGGTGATGCTGCAGGTAGCTTCGGCTGACCAGCGGCCCAATTTGAATAAATGAAGTTAACGGCTCAAAAATTGGGCTCCTTATCTCCATTTCAACGTTGGGTGGAATTCAGTGTGTCGGTGAAACGCGGGTAGATGGCTGCACCCTGAAACCGAAGAACAGGCTCACAAAATGATATGCGATTCAATCTTGCTATATTCTCAGGATGCCAAGCTGTATGTCACCACAATTCTCGCAGTGCACAACCGGTACTCATCGCTCGTAGGGAACGCGTTCCAGAATGAATCCGGCTTCATACAAGCCCTTGACAAGGTAACCTCTCAATTCTGCCTGCCAAAGAATCGTATTGATTGTCTTGTTGATGTAACTATCAAAGCAATTCACCCTTAAATGTTACTAAAGGCTGCAACGACATTTATCAACAAAAATGAGGTCACTAGTCGCTCGCCATCCCAGCAGATGAGCAAATCTCCGGAATTGCTCGCGAAGTTAGTTCTTGTCTGTTTATTGTTTATTTTTTTGGGGTGGTCCTGTTATGATTCATTAGAGACTTGTTAATCGAGCAAAACCATATTATTCTATATTTACTAATATAGGTATTGCGATCAACTACTCAGGAAGAGCAGCAAAATGCCTGAAGAAAGTGAGCTCGAGGATATGCTCACCCAAGTCGTAAGCTTAATTTATTTTACTGGTTATAGGTGCATAGGTATCCCCACTGGCAATGAGTTTGTCAAGGGGATTGTGTGATGACATAGAGATTATTCTGATTTGACAGATCGTCGTACATTCAATGCTTTCAGATGGTCGTTTTCAAATACATTGAAGACAAAGACGTTTTCTCTAAATTCTACACAAAGATGTTCAGTAAAAGGTGGGTCATTCTTGCATTGTTTTAACTAATCTGAAAATGATTTTATGTGATGATATGAACCACCAAATTTTTTCTTTTTTTCGTTTTCTGAGAATAGTGGTTGTATAACTAGATCGGGGTCCGCTTTTCTGGCTCCAGTACACTAGAAAAGCGGACCACGAAAGAAAAGAAAGAATACATGAGAGTGGCCCTCTGAAGCTGGCTTGATTGATAACCTGCGAAGTTGCAGTCGTCACTGACGTCAGAAAAGCGGATCCCTACTCGCAAATAGTTTTACCACTACGATTTTCAGAGAACGGATAAAATAAAAAAAGCGAAGAAATTTTTGATGGTTTGTACCATAAGATAAACTATTTTTCGCCCTTTTCGTTGAGCGAACAGTTCATTCGGTCAATGTCAAATAGTTTGATATTTCGACTCCAGGTTAATATCTGAAACGTCTGCTTCCGAGGAGGCAGAAGTTAGCCTCATCAACAAGTTGAAGCAGATGTGTGGATTTGAGTACACAAATCGGTTGTCCAAAATGATAAACGATACCCAAATCAGTAAGGTGGGTTGGGTTTTCGTCAAGTACGCTTTATATCTCACTTTAGTCTATGTGGATAGAAGTCCTTCGAGTTGTTATTTTACGGAGGTATACGCGATTAACAAGAGGACGACTTTTAAATTTTTTCATTCTTGTGAACTTATAGTGTATTTTGATTGTGATTTCATAGATTTTTTGAAGAAATTTTTCCTCCTATGATTATTGACCGTAATCCATGAATTGAGAAGTTTTTTTCATGGTCAAATATTACTGTTGTTGTAAAGGTTCTGCTATTGAATCTTAAATCGTTCGTTTGTGCTAATATATACCGTCTAGGACTCATGTGCCGAGTTCCGTGACTACTTAGCCAACCGCAATGTCGACTTGGGAATAGACTTCAATATGCTTATCTTGAGGTAGTTTTCTTCGAAAGCAAGAAATTTTTACGCCTCAAATTATGATTCTCTCAAGTGCTTTCACCTCTAATTCGTTTAAGCATTTTCGACCTTTGTTTGCTGCAGATATGTGTTCCGAAAGCTCAGCTGAATCGGCAAATGGTGTTTTTTCAGCTCTGGTTCATGGCCAGCCCTACCAACTCTGAAAATGCATTTACCACAGAAGCTTAATGTTGCAATTGAGCAATTCACTGCTTTTTACAACTCAAAGCACAGTGGCAGGAAATTGACTTGGGTGAGACGAGTTTGAAATTTTGGTTCTTTTTATGGAATTATTGTTGGTCACCTGCGTACTTTGAACGAGAATATCACTAATAGAATTAGTACATCCGAAGTGCACAGGTGTTCAAAGCTATTGGAAATCGAGTGTATTGCTTCCAGAAGTCGCTCTCAGGATAGGGAATAACTATTTTTTTCTCATTTGCTAAATGATAAGAACGATAAGAGAACAGAAATAGAACATCGATGGCTGCGACTCTTCCCACTGGTGCGATTAGATGCAAGCATTACCTTAAGCAGTTAACGACCCGTGCTGGCTTCTTCCCTCTCGTGTCTATACTACTCTGTCCTGCTGCTATGCTCTTATAACAAAGTTTATCAGCTAGTAGTATTATCAGCTGTTATAATGAAACAGATGTAGCGGGATTACCTTTATCTATTCTTATTTCTGCCCTTCTTCTCTGTTTTTATTTAGCTTAAGCTCTCGAGTGCCTATTTGTCATTCGTATTTAAGGTTCTGTCGCAATCTCGAGGTGAAATATACGCATTTGGCTTCGGAAAGAAATACGTTTTCACGGTGAGAATGAGTAAATGTCTTCCTTATGTGGCTGATAGATTACTCCTTTTAAATCCTTCGCTTAATCTTAACATATGTGAGGATATTTTCCCCTTTTTCATCATTGCACATACCTCAGCTATTCAGACCACAACAGCGCAAATGGCAGTGCTTCTTCTTTTCAACGATTCTGTGGAATACTCTATTGGATCGCTTCTTTCATCATTAGGGATGGACAAGAAGACACTTTCACAAGTATTGGTATCTCTTGTCAAGGTATTACTGAATAATTAGGATCTTGCGTTTGAATGGATTGATAATTTCTTGAGCATGAAGAGCTTTCATACATTCTTTCCATACAGAATGATGTTTTGAAAAGCTCCGAAGGCTTGGACGCGTCTTCAGAGGCTAAGGATAACGTTGTCATAAGTCTCAATCAATCCTACTCGAACAAAAAGATCAAGGTTTGTGGCATTTGTTCAGTGTCCTTTACCGGAATTGATGCATGGTTGGGTTAATTTTTGCATGCGTAAGGGCTAGAATACCAGTTTTAGTTTTTAATCTGCCGAAAGTCTATGTTTACTAGTTCTAACTCTTTCCACATTTCACTCCTGGTTTTGACTGCGAAATTGTTCACAAAGAATTCAGGTTGATTTGTCGAAGATGGTGATGCGAACCGATACGAAGCAGGAAACGGAAACTGTACAGAAGAACGTCGATGAGGATAGGAAGAGCGTTATCAACGTAGGATTCATGTTTTTGAATTCAGTTTTCTGGAAATACTGATGATGATTTATGTGTCTTTTGGTCGTGCTTCCAAAGAGTGACTCAGCACAACCGCTGTTCTCTGTCGTTTCTCATTCTGTAGTTTCATTCCCCATTTCCTCGTCATCGTAGGTATCTCTAGGTTGCATAGTCTTGTAAAGTCGCGAATTCGTTCCAATTCCGTAGTTTGAATGTGACCTCAGAATGTTTACTCGATCCTCTGTGAATGTTATAACGGTTTTTGGAATATACTGACTGTTTTAGGCGTGCATCGTAAGGATCATGAAAACACGGAAAAGGATCTCCCATTCTCAGCTGATGACCGAGGTTTGTGTTTCCTCTGTTGCAAATTTCATTCGCTCTTTTTTGATTCCAATTTTTTTCTTGTCCTAACCTCTCACGGGCTTCAGAGTAGTTTTAATGTTCGGTGGCAAGGGCCGCATAACAATGATGCACTGCTCTCTTTGCGGGGCTGGCAAGATTACTGGCTTTTGGCCAATGATTATTTTTCATCTATTAATTCATGAACGTGATGACTCCACATTTATGGCCCCCATTCCTTGTAATTCCTACCCAAAGCGAGTGATTTTTTTGGCAACTGTTCCATACTTGTCTTTGTCATGTCTCAACATTACAATTTCTCTCCTCATTTTTTCCATGATGACTTCTTCATTATTAGTACGTTTCAGCGCTTCTTTTCAGGTATTGCAGCAGTTATCGGCGCGTTTCAAACCAAGCGTTGAAATGGTGAAGCGTTGTATTTCGCAGCTGATAGAGAAGGAGTATATGCGTCGTGACGAGGCAGCCAGGGAGATGTACGAGTACATGGCATAGACGGTGTATGGTATTGTCTACCTCAGAGTGGTACAATAATCAATCTGAACCAATGATAATAAGCTTCTGCCTATGCTTTTGCCTTTAGCGTACGTCTTTTACAAATGTCAATATTATTTCAAAATCGTTTATGTCGGCACTTTTGAAATTTTTCGTTCTCGTTTCCTATGTTTTTCAGCTTTCTACTAGCTATGGGGCAATAATGTGTGAATCCGAGACGAATTGAATTTTCGCAGAATCTCGTTGGTTTTACTGATGTAGTCGCCCGTTCATGGAAACCCTAACGAGCATTGATTGTTAGTCTTTTTGCAGGGTGTTAAGTATTTGTACATCGCTGCCTGATATTCTTTTCTTTATGCACCTATTCCAGTAAGTATATCGTGGCCGATGTCCTACAACTAGTCATATTCAAAAGCGGTTAAGGGCTAACGGTCTATGGCGACCAATTCCATTCGGTGACCCTTAACCGAGGCTGCTGCACGCGTTTCTTTACTGGTATTACGATTTGGGAAGCAGCGAAAGCATAATCAGCCGTGTTACTATGGGAGGCTGTTAAGTTTGGCTATCCAAGCAGTACACTGTCAACAGCTTTCAAATTACAGTCCACGGTCCTTCACGATCCCTTAACTAACATAGCTTAATTGCGTGCTATTTTTTCCCAAATTTGGGTAAGTATGTTCAGTTTTATTATTGTAAGGGTGTGCAAGATGGTAAAAATGGGCTGATTTGGGATTCTCGATAATCTTAACCACGAAGAAATGCGCGAGTGGTATGAAGAAGAAAGGTGGCGAGTGAAGTTTCACCATTTAATGTTCATTCTGACATCGTGCTGCTGCCCTACGCCCTTATTCTATTTATACTCCTTTTCGTTTGTGCAACTTGTAGTAATGTGAGCTGTCTCTCTGTGTCGAGCTGACTTTCCAAAAATGTGCCTGCGGGTCTCCTATTAGATCCCTGTTGTGTTAAGCCAGCTCCATGTGTTTCTTTCAACATAATTTGTTGGGTCAACTAGGTCATGTTCTAAAGGTGAACTTCAGTTTCTTTTTGGTTTTGTTGTACAATGAAAGGTGATGTTTGTCTGGTGCACTTGGTAGTTTTCCACATTCTTTATTCGTCTTGCTCCCAAGCTCTTGCAATTGTAGCTCCAGTCACCAGTCGGCCATCTGTGGCTGCCGCAGGTCTGGTGACCTTGCAGCAGCCATGTCCTCTGCTTGTATAACCAATGCCCAGTCATATTGTGAACTGATTTTATCCGTTTTCTTCGAAATCGATACGGTCTTCCATCTCTCAACAGCATGCTTTTTTTATAGACGTTTTCATACATTTGGACCGCGTATTTCGTGACTGAAATCATTTTTATTACCATTGTGATGTTTAATTGAGAGCACCTTGTCTCGCGGCTTCTCTTTTATTGTGTAAAGACCGATACTCGTGTGAAAATAAATTAGTTGCAATATATTGAACTTGGCCTTCTTCTAAGCATAACAGAGGATCGTTATTCCTCGATATTTACTCGTTTAAAGCGTTGTGTCCGACTTTTCACCTTCAAGTACCTTATAAGAAAGGAAGAAATCCGATCTGAGTGGGATAAGTCGTAGAATCTGGAATTCGCTATGAAATCCCTATGCTCGAAATTCATAGTTGGTTATATATTACCGTTCCAGAGAGTTTGGGATGATTATTTTCTCTAGTGGAAGTCAAACTGCTTTTTTGATTTTTTTTTTCAAAATAATTGAATGGTACTTCCTCTCCATGAGTCTGCGGGAGAAAAAATAGTCAATAGTGTTCCTATGTGGGAAATTCATTCAAATTAATCAGCAGATCGTAAAGGAGGTCCAAAGCGTTGAAACGTGAGGCCAAAGAATTCAATCCATTGTGGAAGCTGTCCAGAAGAAGTTGTAGACACAGTTACGGTACGTGCTGTTCAAAGGAATTGTTTCACTAAATTGATACGTGTTTGGATTTATCGTTGAATAAACAATACCGCAAGGCTGACAGCTCCATTTCAGTATGTGGCCGCGTTTTTTGGCATTTTGGTTGCTGGCATGGATTCAACCTGCCTATTTTCTATTTCCCGGTGCTGTTCCTGATGAAGGCGATGTTCGCCATCTTTATCCGATCACACACATCAGTATTGGTCTCGATAATCATGCTCATATGTTACCGTACCTGTTTGGCTGGTTGGAAAATATCGACTACCCAAAGGATCGCCTTCGAATCACATTGTATCAGCTTAGTAAGGATGATGTCACGGAAAATCAAGTGACTTGGTATGTTTATCGAAAACAGTCATTCAATTCATACCTCTTTTTCATCTTTCACAGTTTCCAATATATAGTCGTTTGATTTATACGGCTGATGCTTTGCCTTGCAATTGCAGGATATTAGATTATCCGCGAAGTTTTGAGGAAATTCACTATTTCTAATACTAATTAATTTACATCTTACCATCGGATCAGCAGTCAAGGTTGTCGCCCTTCCTAGCCAAATTCCTCTCCATCAGTCGGGCTGAGAGAAGCTTTCTTCCTCCCAGAAGTAGAAGGGCCTCTCCCTGCTCGTTGATCGAGAGACATCAGACGTCGCGAAACATTCATCTACTACTTACTTGGGTTCCTGACAATACTCCTTCCTTTTAGTGCAGGGTCACTGGCATTGAGAGTATGGCATTCATAGGGTTCGAGGTCAGCGGAGTGTGTGAGGAGTGGGGTAGTCAGGTTATGCCGAACTTTTCCAGCTCTTACGTCAAAGAACTCGCGTGGTGTAGCTGATGCATTGTTTACCACAATCAAATATTATACTTCCATTGCATTGAGAGTAAAATGGGGGCTCGAGACATTATCTCCTGCATTTTTTCACAGAATGCTGTTGCTGTCACAATATTACACTTCGGTAAGATCTCTAGTAAAATAACCATTGAACAGAAGAAGAATTAGATCGTGTCCATCTTGGAGTAGTAGCGATTGCCATTTTCTGGGTGGTTTACCAATGTACCATGCATGTTACCAGTCAACACACGTGCTTGATTATGGGAGTTAGGGATACGAGTCTAGAACAGTGTTGGCATTTAAAGAAGTGGACGTCCGCTTCGAGCATCTTCATCCATGCAAATCTTTTCACAAGAGGAGTAATTGTGCCACTTATAGTAGGCGACAAGAGGGGGCGCACTGCTGCTAGTCAGTTGCCAATACCCATTCCGATCCTGAGTAGCGGAGCGATTAGTTTCGTAGGAGTGAAGCAGAAAGCGCCGGTAGTCTTGTCAATCGCACATACCTCTTCGATGATTCCTCATTCCAACGACGCCGCAAAATACTGATAAGATGTAGTATTGGTCTATCAACAGTGCCTTTTTTGGCTATAGGTTCTATAGTTCTGCTTTACCTCGCACATACATACGCTCCCATAAGGTTCTCTCCGAACCTTTTTTTATTGTTATTGCTACATATGGTTTACGTTGAGACCACAGATTCATCCTACGGGATATCTCAGAACTCATGATCGTGAACTTTGCTCTTGAGTAACTTGTTCCATTCCTCACTCATTTTAACTTGGTTGCGTAGCTTTACCCAGATTACGCTTTTTGTGCATGCCCTGCCCCTAACCCTGTCCTGCCGCCTACCATCAGTGTTTTCGTCATGCGGCCGGAACGAATTCCAAATGTGAACGCTATAGGTCCATGAAAAGGCTTCAGCACAAGTCCCCAGATAGGAAAGTCCATCCGTACTTATTCGTACTACTATCCATTATACTGCTGCACACATCCCTTCAAAATTTGAACGCTCTAACTCTGAGCTGACCGAATTTTGCGCACTGGCCGCCCTTCCCGGGTGAAGTCCAGTGTTCTCAATTAGTGCCCCCATCCTGCCGCCTGTATCCCTTTCAAATTTTGAACGTTCAGGTCCAAGAGTAAATTTTCGCGCTGGCCCGCACACACATCGATGAAACAAGAGACGCACTTATCGGGTTATATGTAGTAGGATTAGCGTGCGCTTTGTTTAGTTTTGGTCATCAGTTCTTCCATCGATTCGCTCCACTTGGCTGCCCTCTACTTCGGAAGTTGAATTTCTCTCCTTATAATTTCTTCTGGCTTGCATCTCTTCAAAATGACGAGTGAGAAGGAAAATGTTCTTATTTATTCGGTCCAATCGTACATCCCTCATTAATGAATTTCTTTCAGTATCAATATAATTTAGAGATTTCCCAACACTTCACTTCTAATGACTACTCAGCTTACCTAGAAAAACAGTTTAACATTGTTATTGTTGTTGTTTGAAGTCAAGCACAGTGATGAGCAACTATGTAGGTGGAAGAATTCCGTGTCGTCGTTGTTTGCCTCGGTGACAGTCGTCGTAGGTGAGGAGAACTGGTTAGAAGCAGGGCTGAGAGCTGCACGATTGCGCAAGGCCAGCCGGGTTCTGCTAATGACTGGGGATGCCCTCCCTTTTAGGGGCACACTGCTGCAGGTAACTCCTTTTTATTAATATTATTTACGAATCTTAAGGCGTATGAGGTGATCATTATCGCTTTTGGGAGTGTCTGAGAAGCCTACGATTTTGGTATAGATTGGAGACATGGCGTATAATATCATTTTCTCAATGAAACAAATACAGTAACGTTAAGGATTTGAATTCTACCGCAGTTGTGATGAGCGCCTTGTTTTCTCCGACCCTAAGCAGTGAAATAAGCAACTGTGCAACAGTAGATGACGACTACCGTGATCGAGAAGTAATAGAAAGAAGAAAGGTGAGTGGAGTGTTCACTGCTTCTTCTCATCCGCACAGTTAGATTTTTTGATACTGATTTCACCATATCCCTTTGGTTTTACATTTTTCAAGTTTTTTCGCTTTTGTTTTTCGCCTGTATGATTTTGGTTGTTTCTAGATCTCAGAAGCAGTGTTGCCCATGTTGATAAACCTTGATACAATCGATTCATCATACCTTACATTTGATTCGGATAATCTCCCCAATTACCTGGGTAGTGGTGATCCATCTGAGGTGAGTGAAGCGCTGATATCAATTCTTCAAAGTGATCAGCATTTCTTTTATTTGTATTTCTGTACTATAATCTTTCTCAAAGCTTCAAAAAGGTAGCTCGTGCCATAACTTGTCATCTGAAGTGTTTTGAGTTAATATAAATCACATTAGTAAGTCCTATGTGGGCAGAACACCGTGGGCGGTTTTCTAGCCGTGAGGAACCGAAGAGTAGTTTCGTGACCTCAATCATTCAGGTTTTTGTCGAGTCGGCGAGAAGAATGCAAATCGATTTGTGGATCGACAATTTGAAACGACATGGGTTCCACATTGACGAAGCTCTCGAAGTTTATGACCGTCGAAGAATAGTAAGTTTTACAACTCCTCATTTACTTTGCTTTTTACGATTTCAACTTCTTTTATTGATGGGGTTTCAATGTTACTGGTTTTACTACTAATTGGGCGAGGTGGCTGGTGTGGAAAGTAACATTTCCTATCAACAAGTCTATTTATATAATTGTGTTGTTGAACGATCGGCTGGCGAGAAGAGTGAGTAGTTCTCACTATTGATGGAATAGTGCTTAATAGGTTCCCTGGGAAAAGGAGCTTTTGATACCGATCAAGAACCTTTTTTTCTTCATTATAATGACGGATCTCATCGTTCCTTGATTACATTAGAATATTACCATCACTTTATGGCCGTTGCGTAAATAGGTTTGTCTTGGGAATGTGTTAGTGAGTTCTCTGATGGTAATTCTCGGAATTTTATAAAAGCAGAAACCGGCTTATTGAAGTTCCGTTACCTGCTGGCCGACATCGTTGCAGATGGTGGACGTCTTCCGTTGGCTTCAAAATTCGTTCGTCCATGGACTCCAGAGCCACAGCTCTGGGACGTTGAAAAGTACGGCAAGTTGTTTTTTGATTAGTAAGAGAAACTGCAAGTTAGAGCTTAGTAAGTAAAAAAGGTCATGCCCAAATCTTCTATATGAATAGTTCCAAGAACTTTCTATTAGATTTCAATAACAAGAATGAATTTTTATTCTTCTCGTATTCTAAAGTAAATGGACTGGTGCATAATAATGTTTGAGTACGAAAGCCGACCGTAACATTTTCTACGAACTTTATTATTTTTACACTTTCTAGGATCTATATGATTAATCTCAAACGACGTCCAGAGAGGAGAGCTAGAATGGAAAGAATTTTCGAGATCCTTGGTCAGTTATACTTTTCTAGTTATTTGCTTAAGTAAATAGTCGTAGCTTTATTGTTTCTCTCCCTCTTATTGTCGATACATTAAGATGATTCAAAAGCTGTGTTCTTGCCAGACCTGGTTGACACTTAAATTAAAATCAGTGCTTTGCAGGAGTCGATGCAACGTATTGGGAAGCGACTGATGGGCAGAATTTGCCCACTAATTATCAATACCGTATACTTCCTGGCTATATGGACCCCTATCACAAAAGACCAATCAAAGCCGGCGAGATTGGATGCTTTCTGAGCCATTACAGGTTTGTGGCAGAGCCTCTTGATTGACTGTTTATAGGTGACACCACCTCCTATTACTCAAACTGCTTTAGGATCTGGCAGGACGTCGTGCAACTCGGTCTTTCGCGTATAGTCGTTTTCGAAGACGACCTCCGTTTCACTGATGGTGGCTTGGAAAGAATCAAAGAGGTGCTCGAGGACCTCGACGTTTCTAAAATGGAATGGGATCTAATTTATCTGGGCAGAAAGAAACAAGCTGACCAGGTAACCGATTAAACACTATTTGAAGATAGCCGAATCTATGAAAAAAGCGTTCAGGAAGAATTGTGGGTACGTAATCACAGGCACCTCAGCACCGTCGGTTATTCGTATTGGACCCTTGGGTATATTTTATCGGCAGAAGGAGCGCGTCGGCTCATTGATGCAAAACCGCTAGAGAAACTCCTTCCAGTTGATGAATACTTCCCTATTATGTTTAATAAGCATCCCAATAAGGTGAGTTCTTTACTAAGACTTTTCCTTGTTGCTTTACTTCATTTTCCTTCTGTTACTTAAATGTTTGTGGTTGTTCAGTTGAAACCGGGAAACTAGGAAGTTGCTTACAAATTGTGTGTGCTGCATTAATCAAGGGCAACGAAGTCTCGAACATCGAGGCCATTTTTGCAGTCTTAAGAATTAAAAATGGTGTATTCTTTGGGGAAGCCAGGTAAAAGGGAAATGCTTAGGAAAAGGCAAATTTGATTTGTTACGCATTGTATTTTTTAATTTGAAGTGTTTTTCTTCCAGGAATGGATGTCACATTTTCCCGTACGAAATCTACGTGCTTTCACTCTGTATCCACTTAGCGTCTTTCCTCAGAGATATACCCATGAAGAGGGCTATGTGAGTGACACAGAGGATTCGAAGGTTGTAAAAGATGAAGTTACTTCTGAAACTCAGCTGAAAAAAGATGAGCTATAGATGGGGGGCTGCTGGGTTTAACCAGCAGCGACTTGATAGTCGTATAGGCTCAGCTGTCATGATTTCTGGTCCAGTCAAACCGTCTACAGTATTTATTGTCTTTCCTTCTTTATTGTGGTGTTTTATTTCAAAATGTCTATCTATTACTTCTTCTCTTATAATGCTTTTGCTTGAGAAACGTGAGTTTCCGTATACTAGCTTTTCCATGGGCTCAGTCGTTTAAAGCCAAAATAATTCTGATAGCAAATGTCTTCAGTAACCAAAGGAGTTAGCCATGGTTTCCATTATAACTGTTATTTCTTGAATGATGCATTTATTTATTGTGCCGTTCCACTGCCTTCACAATGTGCCATCTCGGCCAGGTCTCTTGACAAGCTTTATTCTGATTCAAATAAGGGTGACTAACATAATCTGCCTTTTCTCTTGCCTTATATCACATTGCCATTGCTTGGAATATATTACAATATTATTATAATAGTAATACAGCATAGTAATGCAAACGTTTCAATAAAAGTTTTGTATTGTGTGCATAGTTGAAGGTATCATGGCATATACCGGAGATTTTTCCAAAAGTTTCCATCTGTTATATCGTCATTGCTGAATGCGCATGATTTATTTTAGTTTTTTGAGAATTGGTATATGTATATCTTGGTATATCTTGTCTATCCTCAAATTATTCTCCTGAAAGACTAGGTTTTTTTTCATATGTTTCTCACTTAATCTGCATGGACAGCATTCAAAGACGGCGAGAATTTTGCGAATCACGAGGTTTTATTAGCCTAACGCTGTGCTTACATCTTTACATTTTACTATGTTTTGCGTATTTTTACAACCCTCGTTATATCCTGTTGCCCCTGACTATGTATTTGTCTTCCTTTTTGAATGGCTAGCGGTGCATTTTGCTCGAGAATAGTCGATTACACGTTTCGAAACGCTTTTTCAGCTAAGGCTTTCTAACCGCCGACAAAACGCTGCGGTATAGTGATCATCGATGGGCTGCGTTTGGTCGAATGCGGACCTGGAGGGTGGCGGCTATCGTATCAAAATTCTGAAGCAGATAGCTGAAGGAGGATTTAGTCAGGTATCAGTAACCCTATTCTCTTATTTGAAATGAACTATCATGAAGTAGCACCTTCTTTAGTAGGAGCAATACCAAGATCTCTTTCGAAATACATTGGATTATGTGTAAAGTAGATCTAACATGTAGTGTTTACCACCCATGATTGACTTTTGGTGTCAACGGTATGTTGCAGGTCCTTCTCTGTGAAGACATTGACAGCAACGAGAGCTTTGCGGTAAAGAAGATAGCCAAACACTCACGTGAAAGCGTGCAACGAATCGAGATGGAGGTATTTCGTTTCATTCGGTTGAGGTAGCAGAATTAGGCGTATAAAGGCTGGAGGTGTAAGATTGAGGTAGCGAATATCCAGAAAACCAGTGGGCGTCTGGGCCCACCTTAACTTGCCTTCCAAGCAGAAAGATTTGGGTGCGATAAGGAAGTCTATTGAGCGGCATCGAGCAACAGTGTACTCCGTCTAAAGTACGTGCTATTCAGCGGTACTGAGCAGTTCTGACGGGTGTGAAGCAAATGACATCAAGCGGTCTTGGGCGGTACAGACTGATGCGAAGCATAGTTGATCGAAACTTCGCGAACCGACTTTGCGCAAGCGTGCAACAAACAATATCAAGCAAATTTTTAAGATCAGAGTTTTTGAAAATACTTGTAAATCTCACGATGTTGGCAATTCTTTAATTCTTCTTCCTAATGATATGGATTCAGACCTCGATTCATCGTCAAATGTCGAATGTGCGACACGTTGTTCCATTGTTGGCTGTGATAAATGTAGAGCAAGTGGTGTATTTGGTGTTTCCATTCTATCGTCGAGGATCGGTCGGTGACGATTTACTTCGGAGGCGTCCAAAAAACGATTATCTCGCTCAGGAAGAGGTATTTCCTTCTCTTACATTTGTCAGCTCTCCATTTCTTCTTAGTTAGTTGTATACTCTTACCTTCGACTTATGCTGTTAGAGTTACACGACTCTGGGAGTCGCTAAAAACCTAAGAGTATGGCTTGCTAGAGCATTCTTTCGAATAATTTCGTCCCGGTCATCAGAGGAAGCTCGTTGAAGAGGGTGCTCTAGCACGGTATAGCTTCAGGTTTATTCATGGTTACCGAAGTCGTTGAGGAGGCTCGTTTTCACTAATCTAGTCGAATGTTGAGTGGATCCGCTTTTTTAGTCTTTGTCTACACGACATTCTCATTGGTTGTTTTTCTGCGTTCCAGCTTAGTCATTGCAGGTGATTCGCATTTTTCTGGGATTATGCACAGCTGTACGTCATCTACATCAGCTAGGATATGTTCACCGAGATCTCAAGGTGAGCAGACTAATCATTCACTTCAGGATACCTGAAAAATTGGAATAATTTGGCGAAGTCTCTAAGGCAGACAGGGATTCCTACTCTTTCATAGTGGACCGCTGAGAGAGGTGGATTTTTGGGGCAGTCCAATAGAGTGAGACCTTCTAGCCATTATTTTACTAGTCGAGCCATAACTTCGATTGATTTTGGGTACTAAATTCAGCTTAGCACATCGAATATATAATCCTTTCATGGTACCATGAATGGAGTCTTTGCTCAATATTCGATTTTACCTTCTTAGTATTTGATTGTATTTTAAGCTATGCCTTCTGCGGACGAAGTAAATATGCGCTTATATGTAACCCCCAACGCAGGCTAATTTATGGTCTGTTTAGGTGGCTAACGTTCTTCTAACTGATGACGGGACACCGATGCTGACAGATTTTGGATCAGCAACGACGTAGGCGGAAGTTTTGCTTTGTTTTCTTCTTTCTTTTCAAGAAGTATTTGTTTTATAACATTTTCATTTTCTTTGTACAATCGATCCCTTCCTATTTCTATTACGCTGACTGCAGTTGTGTAAATAAAGTTGCCCTGGTATAAATAGTAAATCCTAGGAATTGGAAGGATTCGATTTACTTCTAATAGTCCCCATTCACGTACTTCGTTTCATTTCGATCGTTCAAACCTCTACTTCGCTCATACCTCGTTTTGCATTGTATGAAATCTGGTCTTCTCCGCACACTCAGCTTACGAAGTTCTTCCCACACTTTTCCCACTTAATGTAGATCCCAAACTCCCAAAGCTCCAATTTTCCCAATCTAAGCTGTTCAGATCTTCTCGTTTCCCACTATTTGCATTACCAGTAGTTTTGTAAACTTGTTTCATTTTATCACAGGCGTTATTTATAAGTAATGCCTCATTGAAAGTAATTCCAGCGTACCGATTCGTATCGATTCTGCCCGTGAGCAACAACATGCAATTGATGAAGCGGCTGAGTTGTGCTCAATGCCGTACCGGGCTCCTGAGCTGTTTGACTGTCACATCGGTTCCGTAATCACGCAATCAGCCGACCTTTGGGTGAGTCAAGTGATTGCGTATGTTTTCTTCAAAAGCTGCTGCTTTGATTTTTTTTGTTTCTGACTCGAAATCAGCCAACAAATGTTTCAGTCTCTTGGCTGTTGCCTCTACGCCTTATGTTATTTCGTATCGCCGTTCGATCTTGTCTATGAAAAAGGCAACAGCGTCGCTTTGGCTGCGCAGAGTCCAGAAAAGATACACTACCCTGAAGTGAAACAGTGGGTTTTCAGAACGAAACCTACGAATCCTTACAATTAGAGTACCATCATAGTATTCGTTCTTGTTCTGGCATCCAAGATGGGGACCGCTTTAATATGTGGACTACTGAACACCGAAGGGCACCTTTCAAAGTGCTCGTTTAGGTTCGATCGTCGGCTGATCACTGTGATGCGCGGCCTTCTCGTTGTAGATCCAAGTCGACGGATGTCCATAGAAGAAGCCACGGACATAGTCAAATCAGTCGAAGTCCGCGGTGGGGACAGCGGGGAACCGAGCATTGTGGCTATGTAGGGTTTTGAGTTTTTTGTCTGTATGTATGTAGGCTACGACTAATGCTACCATGATCATTAACTTGATTGATTAATAGCCTATGCTCAAATATAGCAGCAGCAGCAACTGACGCTGACTGCGAACCAGAAGTTAATGGGCAACCGACCCCCGTCGTTCACTTAACCATTTGCGATGTACGTAGCAAGCTTTCATTCGATTGAGTTCACTTTTATTCATTCAGAGAAGGAATCCTAGGTCAAAATAATCACTTATAATGAGACCTATTCCACAGTCATGTTCTCAGACCTGAGCTTCACCTGTTTTCCAAACTTCTGGGGCTGCTCTGCAGTTTAATCAGGAGGCCGTACCTTTTTGCTTTTCTATTTTGCCGCTTGTCATCTAAGAATAACTTAGAATTTTGCTGGTTGCTGCTTGGATGCGAACTCTTTTTGATGAATTGCGATAGTCTCTTGTAATCTTTTGAACTTCGGCTTATTCGTGTAGGAGTTGTCACCCTTCCGAAAGAGGAGTTATTGCTAGTCATAAGTGTGGGCATTACGTGCTCTGCCCCCCCCCCCCCCCCCCCCCCTCCAGCTCAATCAGAACATCTCTTGCTAGGAAGATGTACTTACGTGTTCTAGTTGCGATCATTCATTTGTCCAATCGTGGAACTTTAAGGCAGTCCTTGGACTCTTTGATAGGGAGCGTAATCAGTTGCGCGTTTTATTCTCGTGATGGAGGCTGATTCATTTTACAATTGACGTTGGTCCATATCACTCCCATATCATATGATTATCCCTCGCCCTTCTTCACTTCCCCTATCCTTACTTTTTGTACTTTCTGTTTCTTTTTAAATTTTAGTCACGTTGTTCCCTTCGTATTTTATAAACCCGTAGTAATAACCAAGCTAGCGTCCAAGTATCTGAGTAGCAGCTCAAGAATCATTGGTAAGGCCCTGAGAGGGAGATTCGGAGTCATTAAGAACTAAGCACCGACTTAGCTTCAACTATAGAGACCAAGTCCAGATACCAAGTCGAAAGAATATCCTATGAAATACAGCAAGACACTTGAACCCGAGACTTCAATCCACCTCAGCCCTCCTCCTATCGTTATCCTTAGGATGCCACTACAACCTTACTCCCACCAGCTATTGAGGCAGACTTCTAGTCAGTATTGGCTATTTTAAAAGGTATATGGTGGAGATATTGCCATAATCATCCCTTCCATAGAAATGTTGAAAAGTAGATCAGCCAGGAGCATCAGTCGTCTTCCACGGCCGGCTGTCCCTGAATGGCCTGTTTACAATTGACCTAGCATTCTTTTTCATAGCAAGCCATAGAAATAGGAAACGGTATCGAATTCTACGAGGTCCATCTCCATATATATCGTCATCATCATCATCAAATATTCCTGCTTGCTCTTTTCTTTTTCTTCTCGTCTTTACGCTCCCCATAAGAATATCGTTTATCATTTGGTGATGTAAACGATCTTGATATCAATAGATGTATATACATATCGATTTACTATATATGTTGTATGTATTTATTTATTAGGAATTATCTGATTTTTGTAAAGCCGTGATTGATTTTTTTCTATTTTTTTACCGTTTCATAAATTTTTATGGGAATTTCGGTGGCGCCAGGCGAACTAACTGTCCAACACTCCATGGCTTCTTCCAAAATAGTCTGAAAAGTCAGAATTTCGGTATGTTCTCATAGTTAAAAAACCTTTTTCAGTTGTACAACGACAGTTAAAATCACTAAGGTAAATACTGATGTGATAAATTCCAGCTGAAGGTCCCCCTTTGAGAATCAAAGCTCGAGGTGAAGGTGAGAAGCCAGAAGGGACCAGAAAGTCAAGTTCGTTCTCAATCGGTGATCTCAACCTTTTTGATCTGTGGTGGTCGGGGCAATCAGTCCATCGGAGGCTAATCACTCCTTCCGTGTGCACTGGACGTGACCACAATTCGTCCTTCCTCTCCTGCTTATTTGTTTACTGCTATTGTTGAGTGTAAATGATCTTTCATTCTCACATTCATATCGTCAGAAACGCTTTTCTTTTTGTTCCTCCTTGCCGGTTTGCCAATCCCACCATAATTCCAGCACCGAGCGATGACATCAAAGTCTGTTTGCTGCTTATTTCAAACGTACGCATAAGATTATTTGCTTGGCTATCGTATCGATCAACGACGTGAACACTACAACGGTGAAGCGCACCAGAAGAAGCGCCCACCAAGGGTGACGGTCTTCCCTTGCTTATTTCAATGGTGCGGTGAGAATATGAGAACTGAAGGCCGCAGTTGAGCTTTTTCGTGGTATAGCAGACTATAGAGCGGATCTAGTAACAGGATTTTATTAGGAACGGCCGGAAAACTTCGCAAAACCTTCTACCCTCGTATTTCTAAGGGTTATCCGCTCAGCATTTCCCTCTTTGCTGCTGAATACTTCTATAAGAGATGTGGGAAAACTCCGCAGGTGACTGACCACTTAATCGGTCTTGACTATCGCACTATCGTGAGGAGTGTTCTAGTCTATGAAGATGGATAGGGTGTTACCCGTCACAGTGGTAAAAATTTCGTGCCAGTAAGGGGAGCCCATCAATGAGAAGTACTGTACATAGAGTCTGAGCATGCGGGCTGCTAGAGTGCCAACCTGCTTTTCTGTCATATTTGAGTCGTGAGTGTTGCTTTGGACGTATTAATCTGGTCTCTGGACCATTTCTAATTACAATATCGGAGTTGTCCAGTGGAAACAAGGATAGGGGACGTAAGTTTTACCATAGATCTTACAAAACCCCGCGAGGTTCAGTTCCCATTACCTATAAGCTTTACATTCACTCCCCTCCATCCACACTAGTGGATGGGATACATCAAGCTCTTTCAAGCTGAGAAAGGAGAACCCGAATCCGTCTGACTGCAACTGAAGCTTATTTATAGCTGGAAAAGAAAGCTGCGGCTGACTACTCACAAACGAGTTAAGAAGAAGCGGAAGAAGCTCCACCGAACCACTGAAGATAATGAACAGGTTAAGCATTATCCTCTCAAGCAGAGCCTTCTTCATGCTTAGGGCAAGAAACCACTGAAGTTTTTCTAGGGATGAAAAATGGTTTCTGACACGACGCCTTTGGTTTCATTGCTGTCGACAAGTTTTCTGCTGCTTTCTGTGCTGAAATTCGCTCAAAGGCGCAGTTCACGTTAGGAATAAATTCTAAGGATTCTCTCTAGGGTGAACCTACGAACCCTGCAGGTAGCCTTAGGGACGTTGTTGTGTCGAAAAACGGCCAATGTAGGGCGTTATAAGAGCCCTTAACGCGTAAGGGGGCCAGACGATCGTGATAGGATTTTCGACTTGTGAAGTGCAGTCCTTTCCTCAAACAGCGACTTTGGTGATGTTTCACCATTTTTGGCCTTGTTATCGTATCCTTGCGCCTACCTCCTTCGCAAGTGAAACCGACCGACGTTCCAGATGAAGATCAAACTAAATCATTGGTTCATTCTATTAGGTTGGCAAATAAGTCCTGCGACAAAATGGAGACCTTTTTTAAGTCATTTCTAAATTTTTTCGAATCAATCAATTTTCGAGGAAATTTTTGCCGAAGAAGTCAACAACCTTCTTTTATCCTTTGAGTCAATCACTGATGCCATCTCTTCAGGAATGAGGGAGCTGTGACTCGAAGAAGTAATTGACTGCCGTTTTTAGATCACATTAAGTTACGGATTTCTTTTCCACAACGGGATGCTAAAAAGGCGGAGCACATTGTAGTTAAAAGGGGGAACACTCTGCAAGCACGATTGATGAGTAACCTGGAACCAAGCGGGATCGGTGAACTTTTGACGTGGGTCTGAAGCGAATTTTAGATGTACGATTCCCTCTGCAAAGACCTGATTTACGGCTTGATCGTCCTTCTCTAACCCCGTTGGTCAAATAAAGGGGATCTTAGGGGCAAGCGATAGCAGTGACCATATAGTCCGCTTTAAGCAACTCATAGTGGATGGATTCCTTCAACCTCCATTAAAATAAGGGATGTTGCGTGCGTTACTCCGAAGGCTAGTATCTCCTGCAGTGAATCGAGCAAACTGATTGTTGACCGTCGATCGGCTAGCAGTGCTAGCATTGAATAGATTGCTGATATTTCGAGCCGCTACACTCACGTTTTTTCCTTGGCGTGCTTAGGAGAAGGTGATTTTACAAATCGGGTGTTGTCCATTTATTGACCGTAATGCTACGAAAGCCCACAGGCGTGCCCTTATTTACTCATGTGTTGATTGCCTGAGGAATGTCCTACAAGTCCATCACCCTTGCTACCGTGTTCACACTGTTGATACAAATTTTCAACGCTTCAAATTTTTTGTCGCAGGACTTACTTGCCAACCTAATATTTATCAGCACTATTCTGTTCATTTCTATCGGTTCTATGTTCTGATTGCATTCCCATGTGTGAATCTCGTAGGAAATTGTTCCCTTGAGTAGCTTTGGTCTCGTTTCCGTATGGTTCCTTGGCTCATGTGTCTTCAAATTTTTCTCTTAATTTCTCAATTACAACAATCATCAAGATCTTGGGGAATTCGGGTGGGAGATGGCTGCTCGACTTAGGTCCAGCGAGTTGATTAGTAACAAATCTTTCGCCTTCCACAAGGTTGGCGAGTTTTGGACAAAACCTCGGCATCGAACGGGGCTCGAACTTGCTATCCGGGCGCTCTTTATTCCTTACACTTGTGGGACTCCGCATGCCGTCGCCTTCTTGATGGCTTATATGCCATAGCTCTGCGCCTTTGTTTATCTTCGTCCAAACTGTGGCCGTCAGTGAAGAGCAAAAATTTTCCGAAGTTCAATCGTCGGCTATCCCCTGAGCTCTTCGAATAACGTTCCCTATTTGTCTCTGCTCTTGCCAAGCTGCCACCATCGGTCGCAATTAAACGTCACCCGGTGGTTCGATTCTTGCATTACTGCGTCTTTATCCCTGACGAGACGAGCAGCGATTTCCATAATAGAATCAATTGTCACGGGGTAGCGCAAAAGCTG